AACTGCTGTCAATCATCAGTCAAGTCACGTCCTACGTGGCTTTTGGTTATTTAACATTATCGATGGTTTTGATACATAAAACATTACAACATGAGTATCAAAACTATACTGAATACACTCCACATATTACAAATGAAATGCCACGTAGGCTTTAGTAATAAAATATATGAAATTTTATTAGAAAAGGTCATAAGTAAAAATGTTGGTAGGTAAAATAAAATTAACGACTTACAAAATTCAGTTGGTCATAATGTACCAATTATAAAGCTTGAGATAATCAACACAAATTAACAAAAACTCATTATATTAATTATATTTGAATTAAGAAATTACAGATATAATGAAAGTGGAATTACTTAAGTACTAAAAGATTTTTTTTTAATTTAAACACTTATTCACTAATTTTCTTCCTATATATGCAAGATTTCATCGTTAATTGTTTTATTATTTAAAAAAATACTGGCACCCAGTCCATGTTGAAAATGAATCAATTAATAAGTTCACTATTTTTCGTGGTCTGCTTGAGCAATTAATATCATTCAATTAATTAAGGTTTTTTTTTTAGTTGAGATAAAAAAGTCAGTGTCACGAGCGGGTTTCGAACCCACGACCTTCTGTTAGATGCGCCGCTGCTCTACCACTTGAGCTATCGTGACTTCGATCCACTCGGACACTAACTTCCAATCTCAACCCCACCTTTTGAATTTTCCATCCTTTTTGCCATTTTTCAAAAGTCGTGTAATCTATTTGATTCTCGGCGACAAATGAAATGGCTCGAATCCCGCTCGAGACAATGACTTGTTTATCTCAACTAAAACCGTTAATTAATTGAAAGATATTAATTGGTCAAGCGGACCAAGAAAACTAGTGAATTTAATAATTTAAAATGATGTATACATTCACTAAAGCTCTCCGTGGCCATTTCATTTGTCGCCGAGAATCAAATATATTACACGACATTTGAAACATGGCAAAAAAGGAGGAAAAAGGAAGGGGCGTATCAGCCGAAGATCGTGGGTTCGAATCCCGCTCGTGACACTGAACTTTTTCTCAACTAAAAAAAACCTTAATTAATTTTGTGTGGGGCACTCTCGATACGACACGCAAGAATGGCACAATTACACAGAAGACAAACACTTTGAGCCCTGAAGATGATCTCAATAAAGATCGAAACGTTGGCACGATAAAGAAAATGTTTTTCTGAAACCTACATCATACCAGACCGCATCTCACGATTNCAGAAGACAAACACTTTGAGCCCTGAAGATGATCTCAATAAAGATCGAAACGTTGGCACGATAAAGAAAATGTTTTTCTGAAACCTACATCACATCAGACCGCATCTCACAATTTCTAAATAAATACTTAATTAACTGAATAAATTAATAAGGGTTGTAGTGATGAAAAGAGGGTGAGAATTTAAAAAGTTCACTGAAAAATATTCGTTTTTTCCCAGGTTGTTTTTATTATGATTAACTATTTGCCGAAAAGAAATAACAGGCTGTCTTTAAAATAATTTCACTTACAATAATTGAAATCCGACAATTCCGGCACTGTCAGTGAGCCAACATGTTATGGATGCGTTTGGAAGAAATTTTACTCAATACTATGTAAAAGCTGATTTATATCCCCTGTAAAATTCGGCGATATTTCGTATATGATTAAGCTAAAAATATTCAATCAGCAGGTCATATTATACCAACATGCTCAGTTTATAATAAGAGATGTTGGGAAAGTTAGAGGGGCTTCTATGGTTCTTCATTAGGAGGTGTTCAGGCTGCCCAAGGCCCCTTATGCTAAAACATCCGATTTTTCAATTTACCGGATAAACGAATCCGAAAGATTCTTGCTAGGTAAAGAAATTGGGTTAAGGAAATAAAATGCATATTATGCAATAATTTGAGCTTGTAAACTGGAACAACATAGGCAGAGCTACAAAAGGGTTGTTTGTCGCTGTTAGAAGGCCAATTTATGACAATATAAAAAGACATTCAATAGCTTTGGCCAATTCAGGCAGCTTCCCACTTCGTAGTGAGGTTCTGTTCAAATCTCCAAATTATTTAAAGGTCTTTTGTTACTTTTTGATAGCATGCAGAACGTAATTAACTGCCGTGGAGATTTGTTTAACTTAAACTACAAACACTCCAATGGAGAATTTCATTTCAGCCGAGACCGTACATAAATAGAATAATTAATTGAAATGTGATGTTTAGTGACCGTTAGTTAACGATTATTCGGAAATCGTGAGATGCGGTCTGGTGTGACGTAGGTTTTAGAATAATATTTCCTTTATCGGGCCAACGTTTCGATCTTTATTGAGATCATCTTCAGTGCCTGGGATTTATAAACATTTTTGAAATTATAAAAATACATGTTAGATGTGAAGAAAAATGAATTTATCAAAATTGTACAATTATACAAATAAATTCATTTTTCTCGATTCTAATATTTTCTAGCATTGTATAATTAATTATAAATTTTACAAATACATGAAGAATGTGAAAAAAATGAATTTATACAATGCTAGTAATTTTAGATTCAAAGTATTTGTATTCACTCAAAGTGTTTTTTTTATCTGGGTAGATGTGTCGTTCTTGTGTGCCGTGTTGAGAGTGCCAGTGAGATATTGATGGTTTCTGTTTATATTCGTTTGATTTTGAAGGTGAAGGGGATGGAAATCGGGAATAGAAAAACATTTTTATATGGGCAGTGGGACAAAATGGGTAATGTTTCGGCCTAATTATCCTTTCCTTATGTAGACTTGGATAATTAGGAAAAGGAAAGCCATATTGTTGAAGAATTAGACTATGTTGAAATGTTCAATATGAAGAATGTGATGATTGTTTTATATGTTACATGTTTTGTGTGATGTGGTGATGATATATGTATGTTATCGATATTGAATTTGATTATTGATATAAGCGTAGCTGCGACTGAGTTTACATGTGTCCCTTCTGTAATTGATGCTGTGTTTATCTCTGTTGATGTAAACTATTTTTAAAAAGTTAGGTTTATGTTTGTTTTGTTCTGTGAGTAACATTTTTGGATTGCTAAAGTCGAAATTGTGTTTGGGTTCAAAATGGTAAGTAGTCAGTTCTGTAGGATTTTGTTTGGGTTTTTTGCAATCATAGATATGTTGCATTACTCTCTTATCTAGATATTAGGATGTAATTCCGATGTAAGTTGCCGGACAATTTAAACAATTGATTTTGTAAATTACGTAAGATTTATTTGTAATTGGTTTGGGATCTTTAATTTTAGAAAAAAGTGTTAGAATTGTTTTATATTTTGGAAAGGTATTTTAAAGTTATCAGAAGAGACAAATGTGCTTAATTTATGTGATATGCAGTGAATGAATGGAATGGAAATTTATGTTGGTTTGTCTGTATTTCGTAGTTTTAATGTGGTATTATTAAGATTAGTGGATGGTGTTAGTTGTAGTTGTTAAGTTGTAGTTGTTGATTGTTCTGTGGATTATGTGTTTAGAGAAGTGATTGTTATGGAGGATCTGTTTGTATATCTTTATATTCTTGTGGTGAAAAGATTCATGCCTTAGGGTAAAAATTCCGTGAAGTAGACCTTTGATCGTGTTTATTATTGTGTGAAGAGGATGGAGTGATTTAAAGTTGCGGTAGCTATCAGTGTTTCTTGATTTTTCATACTAATCTGTGATTTATGAGCCATCTTGTATCCCAGCTCTGAAGATGATCTGAATAAAGTTCAAAACGTTGGCACGATAAAGAAAATGTTGTTTTAAAACCCGACCGCATCTCACGATCTTTAATATTTGGTAATTTGGTCAATTTGACCATTAAACATAAACGGATTAACTTTTATAATAATTTTCAGAAATCGTGAGATGCGGTCTGGCGTGATGTAGGTTTCAGAAAAACATTTTCTTTATCGTGCCAACGTTTCGATCTTTATTGAGCACTGAAGATGATCTCAATAAAGATCGAAACGTTGGGAAAATGTTTTTCTGAAACCTACATCACGCCAGATCGCATCTCACGATTTCTAAAAATGATCGATTAACGGTCACTAATCACCACACATTTCTATAGTAATATTTAAACTAATTAAGTTCTATTCTAAAGGAAAATAAAATGTAAGTACATTAATTTAAAAGTTATAAAAAAAAATTCTCCAAGCAAAACAGTGAGGTTTGGCCTGTGAGTGACGTTTATGAGAATATTATCAGCATTTGACGAAATTGGAGGTGTTGTGGCATGATTCTTTTTGAGAAAACAATACAAGCCGACCTCAATCTCAATAAAGATCGAAACGTTGGCACGATAAAGAAAATGTTTTTCTGAAACCTACATCACGCCAGATCGCATCTCACGATTTCTGAAAATGATCGATTAACGGTCACTAATCACCACACATTTCTATAGTAATATTTAAACTAATTAAGTTCTATTCTAAAGGAAAATAAAATGTAAGTACATTAATTTAAAAGTTATAAAAAAAAATTCTCCAAGCAAAACAGTGAGGTTTGGCCTGTGAGTGACGTTTATGAGAATATTATCAGCATTTGACGAAATTGGAGGTGTTGTGGCATGATTCTTTTTGAGAAAACAATACAAGCCGATCTCAAACAAGCTCCGTTACGGTTTAACTTTCAACTTGAAGGTTTAACACGATGTAAACAAGAAGTTGTGAAAGTAGTTAAAGGTACAAATAACCATTTTAGACAAGCCTTTCAGGGTAAAGACGATTGGGCTATTGATTCCACCGCAAATTAATTTTCTTTTCTCTAATCGTCGAAGATACGGTTTCAGAAGTAAACGTGCTTGAAACTACGAGTCTGTTATTATTTCCTGCAAAAGCCTGTACAAATAGAGATGTGCTTTGAATCGTTTATTCCAGTAAGAATATTTTTTTTTTAATTTCAACCTATTCATGTAAATCCTAAAATACATACAAAGTGACTTCAAAATTACAGCGGAAATAAACAAGATTTAAAAAAATTAAACGAAAATGATTGTTTTAGTTACCTTTTTGTAAAGCGAGTAGCAGAAGAAGCTGGACGAGGATAGAACCCATGACTAGGATGGACGCAGAGCAACTTGAAGGCATTTCAAATCTGTCATTGCTCTTATTTCACCCAAAAACACGCCCAAGCACCTCCGGAGGATTCCTCTCCATCATTACAACACAGTCAACCTGGAACATTATGCCGAAATCGGTTAGGATGGTTTAAGGGACGCTTTGGACAGGTAACAAGGAGTGTGCAACAGTAAATTACCATCGGATTCCAAGTTGGCGAACGGCCAATCGACGAATATAAACCACCCGGCAAACATTTCATTTCAACATTTAACATGGCCAGGAAGCGGTCTTAAAGAGGAAACTATCCCTAGAAGCCTGCCGATCCCAAGGATTTATCGTACTAGGTCTAATGCAATTTAATTAGCTCCGTACCCTCTGGAGAGTTAAACTTTCTAGTTCTGAATTCGGCTAATCACTCCGATCTGTAAGCGCTAGTATAAATTATATATATANTAAAGAGGTAGAGAGATGGCCGTTGTGTGAGCGTGGGATGGACATACAGAGAGGGATAGAAAGAAATAGACAGAGAGAGAGAGAAATAAAGTGGGGAGAGAGAGCGAGAGAGAGAGAGAGAGAGAGAGAGAGAGAGAGAGAGAGAGAGAGAGAGAGAGAGAGAGAAAGAAAGAGAGAGATATTGGTGATTGAAATGCTTCTTTTTCTTTGCATAAAAGAAACGTTATGTAGTTGCCTTAAAACATTTTCTTTCAAAAAAACCAAATTCATGAAAGTATTTTAAAGAAAATGTGCGTGTGTGAGAGTTGCTGAGAGAGAGCGAGAGAGAGAGAGAGAGAGAGAGAGAGAGAGAGATGATTAAAATGTTTGTTATGTTTTGTTTTATTTTGCGAGGAACGTTGCACGTAAGTTAAAATGATTTTCTTTGTAGAAACCTAAGCTTTGAGAGTCAAAGAAGAGTTTGTTTGTGTGTGTGTGTGTGTGTGTGAAAGAGAGAGAGAGAGAGAGAGAGAGAGAGAGAGAGAGAGAGAGAGAGAGAGAGAGGGAGAGAGAGAGACAGACAGAGAGAGACTGATAGACAGACAGAAAGAAAGAGATAGAATGAGTGTGGGTGTAACATAGGAGGGAGAGAGAAAGATTGGGGAATTGGATGCTTCTTTTTCTTTGCATAAAAGAAATGTTATGTAGTTGCCTTAAAACATTTTTCTTGAACAAGTTCTTGAAAGTATGTTAAAGAAAATGTGTGTGTGTGAGTGTTGCTGAGCGAAAGAGAGAGTAAGAGAGCGTGGCGTTATATGATATGATATTACGCATTATTTTTCACGCATAATTACGTCTTCTGGTAAACGAAATTTCAAACAAACAAAAACAAAAAAAATAGTATTAGTAAACAATAAACAATAGTAGTAGTAGTAGTAGTAGTAGTAGTAAAATAGTACTGTTAAGTGATTATTCAGAAATCATGAGATGCGGTCTGGTGTGATGTAGGTTTCAGAAAAACATTTTCTTTATCGTGCCAACGTTTCGATCTTTATGGAGATCATCTTCAGGGCTCAAAGTGTTTGTCTTCTGTGAGAGTGGGCACTCTAAACACGACACGCAAGAATGGCACAATTACACAGAAGACAAACACTTTGAGCCCTGAAGATGATCTCAACAATGATCGAAACGTTGGCACGACAAAGAAAATGTTTTTCTGAAACCTACATCACACCAGACAGCATCTCACGATTTCTGAATAATTATCGATTAACGGTCACTTATCACCACACATTAATGTTAAGGCACGTACTTACGATTTAATTTTTGTTGTTCAGATTTAGTTCACCTGATTTTTTGTGTTTTTGGTTTTGGAAATTGGCAAAAAAAAATTATCCTCAAGTGGACTTGGAACATGGACGATTTTGATTCCATTTTTTTGATGCAAAATCAAAGTCTCGGATTAACTGGCATATAAAACATGTTCAGATTTATTGATAACTGTCATGAAAAATTTAACCGTACTTATATATGCATTATTTCCCTTCGAATCAACAACCTATATAATGTATAAAAGATATACAAACTGGAGGGCAAACGTTTTCGTCTTATTTTCTAAGAAATGAAAATTACCGGATCCACAAATAAAAAATGGAGGACGTCGGGACAAATTTATGATTTTATGATCCTCTCCGCCCAACGATTACACGACTTGATGATTGTAGGTACATATTCGAAATAAAATGCCTTGAATTCTAATCGTAAAATAAATACATTCGAAAATTGCAATTAGAAAAACAAAATTGAGACAACTAGATATAAGAAAGGATCAAGATTTTCAAATCAAATTTGACAAATTATTACCCAAACATGTGAACATAAAATTTTGAACAGAGAGGCCTTTAACAACATACAGAAGAAATGGGTGCTATTCAACTCATACCTCCCTTTAACCCAAGCTCGACGACCGTTCAAATTTGAACCAGGATCATTCTAGTTTTAAGCAAAACTTGGTTCTGTACTGAACTGAATTTAACCCGATTTAGTGCAACTAACACTAAGAAGTGCCAGATTTAGCATACATATGATTAAAAAAATTCTCACGAAAACGCACCAACAGCAATAGAAAAATCAGAAATGAGATATATGCCCATCACTTAGAATCTGATACACCAACGGCAGAAGAAATAGCCACTAATATTTTCTTACAATGCAAAACTGCTCAATGGAGTCATAACCTAAGGTACGAACATGCTGAGAACAAATAATTACAGCATCTAATGATTTATTACTTCTTAAAATAGCATTTAGTAAATTAAACTGATCGAAAGAACTAGTAAAACACAAGGAGACAGAATTCAGCAGTGCCTGAAAAATACAAAAATCCCGTTTCCATGTATCTATCCTCTTACTTTCATCATTATTCCATTATTGTGTAAACATCTTTGAAACCTTGTAACTGAAAAAAAGAATTTTATACGGTTGATTTTTTAACTTAAAATTTATTTTGCTGGAAAATTATACATGGGAAAAACTGTGTATAGTTTTGTCTAAAAACCAAATTTTTATCCATACAGCCAACCTCGAAAATTTAATATTCTTCCCTGCTGGCCCTTTCGAGTCGATTGTTATAAAGAAAACGCCACGATTCGTATTATTGACGTATGTTTGTACATTTGGCCTGTTTTCGACGCCTTGTCTCAACATGTGTGACGTGCTAATGATGTTGGCCTTCTTAAAGGAGTGTGCGATGTGATTGACATCTACCATGACCTGTTTCCGATCGTCGGATATCGAACGAATGGTGACGTTTCGAATCGTGTTGTGTGACGAGCCCCTTAAAAATAGGCGTGATGTACAGCACGTTGTTATTCATATATGACAGTTTCCATCAATTTTTATGTAAAAGGATCAGTCTTAATTAAAGTCATTTAACTAATAAATACTAAATCTATTTATATTTCGAAAATTCGCACAGCGGTTAGATATGGTCGCTTAATTTTGTTCACTCAAACATTCGCAAGAAACATTGAAAACAATTGCAATACACCATCTTGGAATAGTCCGTTTTGTCACAATCAATCTAGAAATAAGAATACCTATTTAACATTTTATTGTTCTTGCAAAATTGAAAGTATAAAACGGTTTAGAAAAACCTTCAATCAAAACTATTCAAATTTTTTTCTTTAATAAGTACGTTATTTTCTCGACCCGCGTCCAATTCTAATCATTGGGAATTAAAAATATAATATGAATGTATTACTTTAATAACATACTAAAGTTATATATAAGTATCAAATAAGGGCAAATGTTCATTTTAAGTGTAGTTTCTAGGTATACTAAGATTTTTTAAATGGAAAATACTTTGAGAGGAAGAAAAAAGATAGATACTCAGAAGCAGAATGAGAAAAAAAGAAAAAAATAGAGAGAGAAAGAGACATAAACAGAAAGAGAGAGACAGAAAGTAAGAGGGAGCGAATGTGGGTGTGGAGAGAGAGAGAGAGAGAGAGGGATAAAAAGTTAGAAGGAAATAGAGAGAGAAAAATATAAAATGAGTGTATGATTATGATAGAGGGGGGAGAGACAGACAGACAGAAAGAGAGAAATAGAGTGAGAGTGAGTGAGAGAGAGAGAAGAGAGAGAGAGAGAGATAGAGACAGACAGGCAGAAAGAGAGAAATAGAGTGAGTGAGAAGGGAGAAGAGAGAGAGAAAGAGACAGGAGAGAGAGAGAAAGAGAGAGAGTGAGAGGGGGGACAGACAGACAGACATAGATTAAGTAAGGAAAATAGTGTGGGTGTGTGAGAAATGGAGAGAAACTGAGAGAGAGAGAGAGAGAAAGAGAGTGAGAGTGAGAGAGAGAGAGAGAGAGAGAGAGAGACAGACAGACAGACATACAGACATACAGACAGACAGACATAGATTAAGTAAGGAAAATAGTGTGGGTGTGTGAGAAATGGAGAGAAACTGAGAGAGAGAGAGGGAGAATGGAGAGATTTATAGAACGATAAATAAATAGAAAAAGAGCGGAAGAAATAAAAATAGGTAGGAATAAATAGAGATAGAAAGAAAGACAGAAAGAAAAAGAGAGAGGGATAGAGAATGGCGGGATATATAGAACGAGAAATACTTAGACAGCGAGAGGAAGAAATAAAGATGGAAGGTAATAAATACAGAGAGAAAGAAAGACAGAAAGAAAAAGAGAGAGAGATAGAGAATGGCGGGATATATAGAACGATAAATACATAGACAGCGAGAGGAAGAAATAAAGATGGAAGGTAATAAATAGAGAGAGAAAGAAAGAAAAAGATATGTAGAGAAAGAGAGAGAGAGAAAAGAACAGAGGAGAAAGTAAGAGACAGCGTGTGTGAGTTTGATAGAGCGAGAGAAACAGATTGAGGTACATAGAAAGGTAGGTAGGTAGATAGGTAGAGAAAGAGAAAACGTGGGTAGGTGAAAGAACAAAGAAAAGAAAAAGAGAGGGAGGGTGAGTGAATAAGAAAGAGAAAAGTAGACACGGATTGAGGGATAGAAAGAAAGGGGTGAAAGACGGAGAAAGAAATAGAGAGAGAGAAAAAGAGAGAGAGAGAGCAAAGAGAGAGAGAGAAAGTGAAAATGAGTGGGTGAAAAACAAACTATTCTAAACCCGATAGTTTTAACATATGAGCCATTTTTGCAAAACAGA